AGCCTTTGGTGTCACCCTCAGAGCACCATCCACCTCCTAGACTGGCTGCCTAGTGAACCTCGGGTACCCCCTCTCTCTGGCTCTCCAGGCCACGTCACCCATCGTTTTCTCATGGGCACTGGGAGTTAAACTTAGGCCTTTGTGCCTGTAAGGCAAGAGTTTTCCCAAATGAGCCACCCCTCAATAAAGACAGTTCCATGGCTAGTTACTATACTGGTTTGAAAAGGAGATAATCAACTCCAAATGCAGCTATCTAAAATACCTGTGGTAAGCTCAAATTACAGCTGTCTCTAAAAAATAAATAGAACATTCTAACACAAAACAGCTAGTTCGGGAGGTGGGTCTAACTGGATGCTAACATTAAAATCCTGTAGTGGCTTGAATGAGAACTGTCCCCAGAGGCTCAGGCATTTGAAGCCTTGGTCCCCCCTTGGCAGCACTATTTTGGGAGATTATGGATCACTTAGAATGGAATCCTTGCTGGAGGAAGCAAGTCACTGCAGGCAGGCTTTTAGAGTATATAGGCCCACCCCCCTTCCAGGTCACACTGCTTTTAGAGTGCAGAACCCCACCTCACTTCCAGGTCACACTCTGGGCTTTCTAAATGTCAATAGATTGGGAATGTGATCGCTCAGCTTCCCCCTAACCCCTGCCATTATGCACTCTCCCTCTGAAGCTGTAAGACCAATAGCCTAGTCCCCAGAGGAGACCCTGTCGGCCCTGGTGTTTTATCACAGCAGCAGAAAAGCACTAAACCAACACAACGGAAGTGTCTCCCGGGTCCTAACACGGGCACCTCCCACATACCAACTGCAGATTCGTAACTTTTTCAGAAATGACACATTTAAGCATTTCTAAAGGGTGTGTTTTCACCAGGTGTGGCAGTCTATATACCTTTCATTCCAGGACTCAGAAGGCAGAGGCAGGCAGATTCTGTGAGTTCAAAACCAGCCTGCTCTACATAGTGCCTTCCAGGCCAATCAGAGATACACAGGGAGAGACCCTGTCTCAGAAGCAAAGCAGAACAAAAGAAATGCATCTTCAGTAGGTAAAACCTTGATTATATTCACATCTACAAAGGAACAGGGAGATTACCTCTAATTGTCTGGTGTTCCTGAAAGCCTCTCCCTTAACCCCCCAACCCTAGGTAGGAGAAAGAAGGTTAGTAGGAAGAGGGGGCGCAGACCCATTTACTCCTCCCTGCTGTTTAGCATCTGTGGGTTCTTTTGGGGCTACTCCAGTCTCTATCAACAGCAAACATAGCTGCTGTGGTCTCTCCAAATTGCTAAACCCACACTTTTTCTCTCCAGGCTCCCCAATTTATATCCCTGAGTCCTAGACCATGCCCCTCTTCCTGCTGAGCGAGGCAGGATGTTCCCAGCTGGCAAAGACCATGACCCACACGAGACAACAGGTATGGACAAACTAAAGCCCAAACTAAAATCCCATACTTAGGATTAAAACAAAAACATATTTACATAGCATAACTGAGTTTTTTAAAAAACCAAAACTTCCATTAGACCTAAATTCCCTGTTATGGTTTGATTCTGAAATGTCCCCAAAAGCTCATGTGTTGAAGGCTTGGGCTCCTGCCCTGTCCTTGGAGTGGGACCTTCATGAGTGACTGGATCACAAGGGCTCTGCCCTCATGATTTAATTGTCCATTAATGAAGACACATTGGGAGTTCTGGAAGCAGTGGCGACTTCGGGCAGGGTGAGTGGACATGGCTCACTGAGGGCGACCGTTCAAGGCCCTCACTACCCCCATCCTCTTCCTCTTC